CCATTGGCTTTGATATCAGGTTTTTGAAATTAATTTTCTCACAAACTAACAAACTAATTGCAATGGAGTTTTTTTTTTCAGGAGAAGCTCCGAACTTGCACTTTATTTTTATTGGCTTAAATTTTTTTTACAAATTTTCCTTTTTGAGTAAAAATTAGACGATCAAAACTTTTCAACCGCCCCACGTATTTATAAAATAGGCCAAAAAATTATAAAACTTATATTGACCCGTTTAGACTTAATTTTTCCCAATGTATTATCAACACACAATTCAAAAATGCTGATCAAATTGAAAAAAAGTTATCGATCTCGATGATATTCCTATTATAAAAGTCTGTATTATAGGTAGTAATAGTAACTACTTTTCATTTGATAACCGTCACCTCTTTTGTTACCAGGAAACCATTAGAATGGGTGCAAATTTTGAAAAAGTTCCTTGTTTTATTTACGAGAGAAGACAATAATATTAGATGGAAAATGAGTGGTGCAAAAAAGATAATTTTAAACAACGATTGGCCTAAAATCTATATCTTACCATATGCTAAATATAGAGACTATTTCGATCTGATAATTTTCCGATTTAATATTAAGTTTTAATATCATTATCATTATATTCTTATGTATTCATATTGTTCAATAAAAAAATGTTAACTTTAAATAAATTTATTGCAATAAGTACATACCAAATTCATATGCCCACTATTATAATTACTATTACACAATTCTCGTTTTGAAACCGTCTTCCGAATCTTTATTCAATAAACATGATCAAATTTTATTTATTTATAAATAGAAAAAGTAAAAAAAAAAAAAACCAACTAAAAATCGAAGCCCTCGATTTGAATTTTTAAGATCTTGATTTCGGTCCGTCGAAGTTCTTCGAAATTCATCTACTCGTAATTCAAGATTTTTTATTTTCTTCTTAACCTCTTCTTCCCCAAAATTAAGTGAGGGAATGGTTGATGCATAGTCGATCAACTTCGTATTCATATTGACAGTATTTGCCAATATAATTTTGAATACGGACGACTTAATTTCGTCCGCCACCCCCTCACTAAACGTAGAAACTATTAAATATAAAACCCCAACAATTTTACCATCTTTTGGGAATCTGGTAAGAACTCCCTCCAATGCATGAAGAGTGTCTTTACCTAATATCAATAAATATTGAAGTAAATAACAAATGTAAAGAATAATCATTATTTATATTAATATGATTTATATATAATATTTACCAACGGCTTGTTCCCAGTATTTACATTGCATAATAAATTCGATATTATTTACAACGCAATAATATCTATACCTCCATCGCCGCCATCCCTAGGATCAGAGCTAATGAAAAAATATATGAGTAAATGCATCATCATAATTGTCGAAAACTATTTAAAGAACGTTCACAGCAGGCCGTCCACCATACGCCAGGGCTGGGTACCTGACTGGCGACTTTCGCAAGCTGTGGCCACGAAGCGCTTTCGATTCAAATAGTCAATGTATCCTATTCACCGCAACCCGGCCCAAACTCCAGACAGCTTCGGTAACGAAATTTAAAATACACATCAAATCAACCACCATACGTTAGAAAACACAACAAAGTGCTTAGAATGTATCCTATTCATCACAGAACTCGGCCCAAACTCCAGACAGTTCTTTGTCGGATACGGAATCGATTAATATACACCCGTGCATGTTTACCGAAAACCGAATTTACACCTAGTGACAGCGTAACTTCAGATACATACACTTTACTGGTTATCTAACCAATAACTTTACTTAATACAAAAGTTATAGAGTGGCATGAAGCGTATTCAAATTTCGATATTTTACACCTAGCGGCAGCGTAACTTCAGATACATTACTAACTATTTAACAAATACTCAGTAAGAAAATATTTCCTTACCTCAATCTATGAGCCCAAAACCCATTATTTCGTAAACTTCTAAGGATGGTTCGTTCAAATCTCTTACCGGCTTCAGTTGGGTTCAACATCGTAACTTGTAAGTAAAGTCTTTTTGTATATAAAAGAAAATTCAGATGAATACATTTCTATTGAAAATAGATAATGTTAAAACAAATATGGTATATACTCATCTTTTTCATGTACGATTTTGTATATTAATTCTTACGAATACTTTCTCTTCAAATTTCGTATATAATTATTATTAAATTAGTACAATGGGATTAATTAAAACAAATACGGTATCTACTCATCTTTTCATGTACCATTTCGTCCATTAATTCTCACGAATGTGGCTTTGATACAAGTCTAATATCATACCCGCTTCAAGACTTCATATCGCTTAAAGTTTCGACAACACGTTTCGAGACATGTTCAATTTAGTACGTTGTGCCATGTAACTGTTACGGTCGGCGTATTTAATTAGGGAGATTTGTGGGAGAGCGAACTGTAGGCGGTTCGGCCGACAGGGGGATC